AAGCTGAGGCTCCAATACTTTGGCCACCTCATGAGAAGAGAAGGCTCCCTGCAAAAGACCCTGATGTTGGGAAAGATGGAGGGCACAAGGAGAAGGGGACGACAGAGGACGAGATGGTTGGACAGTGTTCCCGAAGCTACCAGCATGAGTTTGACCAAACCGTGGGAGGCAGTGGAAGACAGGAGTGCCTGGCATGCTCTGGTCCATGGGGTCACAAAGAGTCGGACATGACTAAATGACTAAACAACAACAACAATGCAGCAGTTTGACTTCACCCCATGAGGCACACTCCATTGTTTCTGGAGACGAAGAAGAAGAAAAAGAACCAAAACAAAAAATGCCATGAAATTCCTGCACTGCAGGGCATTGGACTAGATGTCCCTAGAAGTGCATTCCAATTCTACGATTTTATGATTCTATATATGCACTGTCCAGGCTTGCTCCTCAGTGTGACGCTGCATAATGCAGCTGTTTGACTTCACCCCACGAGGCACACTCCATTGTTTCTGGAGCCAAAGAAGAAGAAGAAAAAGAAGCAAAAAAAGAAAATGCTAACCGAAAACCCAGCCTAGAGGCCACTAAGACCCGGAGCGATCCCCTGCGCACAGCTCAGCAGCTGAGCAAAAGTCCTGTGCAAAGAGAGAGAGAGAGAGAGAGATCAGGTTTCTGGGGGCTCCCTCCCTCACATGCCCAGCAACGGGCCCGCTTGGCCTCAATAGCAGCGGCCGGCGGAGCGGAGCTGCCTCCCCGCGCGGGAGAGGAGGCTCGTCGCGCCACGTGATCCGGCGCCGCTCCCACGGATTGTGGAAGCTCCCCCCGCGCGGACACGCGTGGGAGGGGCGCGCTAGCAAAGCGATGGACCGGCAGCGCTGAGCCCGAACCGGGTTGGAGGCAGCTGCCAATCTAGATCGCCCAATTTCCTCGGGGTTTTTTGGGGGGAGGGGGGTTGGGGGGTTGGCCGACCCCCGCTGAGAAGCAGCGAAAGTGAAAACTCCTCTAATTGCTCTGTGTGCCAACACCGCGGCTCTCGCAGTTCGGTTGGATCCAAGCTGCGATTGTCGGTGGAAACTTGGGAGAGACAGGCCCGTTCTAAGTACATTAAATAATAATAATAATAATAATAATAAATAACTTGGGAGAGACAGGTCCGTTCTAAGTACATTAAATAATAATAATAATAATAATAATAATAATAATAATATAGCAGAGGCAATCTGAGCACCAGAGGGCCGGCTACTTCAGCACCACGTTTCCCGCAATGGCCCCTTCAGATGCCGACGAGTTCTTCGGTTACGCGACTCCTCTCTCTCTGTGACCAGCAAGTGGTCTACTACGCAATTCCCTTGCAATTCCCTCTCCCGTTTACACCTCCTTTCCCCGCCTCCTCCATTCATTCCTCCTCCAGCTGCTTTAACGAGCTTCGGAAAGTGAATTACGCTGGCCTCGTTTCCAAGAAATCCTGTGTTTATGAGCAGCTTTGGCTGTCTCCGCGCGGATCGCCTGGGTTGTTTTTGGGGAGAGTCCCAGCGCGAGACAGAACAAAAGGAATGTGTTGCACTTTGATGGAAGTGCGTAAAGGGATTGGAGAGCTTGCTGCTCCGGCTCCCCCTACTGCTGATCGTGTGAATGGCAGCGAGAGTTTGCTGGGTCAAGCGGGAGGGAGGCCCGGATTTTATAAAAAGGTAAAGGTAAAAGACCCCTGACAGTTAAGTCCAGCCGTGAACGACTCTGGGGTTGCGGCGCTCATCTTGCTTTACCGGCCGAGGGAGCCGCCGTTTGTCCGCAGACAGTTTTTCCGGGTCATGTGGCCAGCATGACTAAGCTGCTTCTGGTGAAACCAGAACAGCGCACGGAAACGCCATTTACCTTCCCGCCAGAGCGGTACCTATTTATCTACTTGCACTTTGACATGCTTTTGAACTGCTAGGTTGGCAGGAGCAGGGAGCGAGCAACGGGAGCTCACCCCGTCGTGGGGATTCGAACCGCCAACCTTCTGATTGGCAAGTCCTAGGCTCTGTGGTTTGACCCACTGCGCCACCCGCGTACTGTGTCTGGATTTTATAGGCTCTCAATTTCCCCCTCTCTTCGATGTACTTTTAAGTTGTGCAAGAGCTACACGGGCCCACTCTCCATGTGGTAAAGGTAAAGGGACCCCTGACCATTAGGTCCAGTCGTGGCCGACTCTGGGGTTGCCTCGTTCATCTCGCTTTATTGGCCGAGGGAGTCGGCGTACAGCTTCTGGGTCATGTGGCCAGCATGACTAAGCCGCTTCTGGCAAACCAGAGCAGCACACGGAAACGCCGTTTACCTTCCCGCCGGAGCGGTACCTATTTATCTACTTGCACTTTGACATGCTTTCGAACTGCTAGGTTGGCAGGAGCAGGGACCGAGCAACGGAAGCTCACCCCGTCGTGGGGATTCGAACTGCCGACCTTCATTTTTGGAATCGCTGTAAAAAAACCACCACCTGCAGCGTGTGATTTAAAACAACAACACTCTGGTATGAGAGACAGCAACATACTAAATAGCTGTGATTCCTGCACTGAAGGGAGGATTGGACTAGATGACCAAGAGTCCCTTCTAACTCTACAATTCTGTGATTCTATGACACCTCTTTTGGCCTCGTGTGTTCCCTGGGGGAGTGGGAGCAAAACGCTTCTAGAAACAGAATGGATCAGAGTGCGCTAAGACTTCAGAGGCCCGTACTGAGCTTAGGACGACAGTTCAAGAAACAACCCTAGAAAATCTAGCCAGACAAGCGATTCCCTACGCGTTGTGTAAGTTTTGCTGCATAAGGATTTGTTCTATCATGGATACTTTAGCTGAGATTCCTGCATTGAAGCGGGTTGGACTAGATGACCCTCGGGTCCCTTCCAACTCTTAAGATTCAGTTATTCTATTCAGAGCAGGAACTGGTTCCCATGCACAGCCCTTTGAACTGTGCAGGAATAGATACACACAAAATGGTGTCCTGCGCACATCTAAATGGGGGGAGTGTTATTGGTTTGTTGTTTTTATTTTGATTATATATATTGTGGTTTTATATTTTGAGTTTGTTCTGTGCACCACCCTGAGGGTATAGGGTGGTATATAAATTTAATAAATAAAAATAAACAAATGAAGGTCTAGCTCCAGATCAGCAGCGCAGCAGTTCTAACGTAACACTCTTTCCCCAAAATCATATGCCTCTTCCCTTCCTGTCAGTGCCTATGTAACAAAATAAACCAACTGTTTCTTCGCTGGAGAATAGAGTGTGTTCAGCACCCCAAATGCATTGGAATAAATTTGAGGGTGGACTAGATGGGTTTTGGGTTCCCCTCCAAACCTGCGATTCTTAAGCCACTGCAAAAAGAGACCAAACCCTCCCCCTCCCATATTAATTAAGTGAATTGCTTAACCAGATCTGCTAAGTATCTGCTTTGTTATGTAAGCGTGGGCCAAAGCATTGCCATGGAAACTAAATAGCTGGAAACGCTTCTGGGAATAAGCTGGAGAAGGTGTCAGCGTGTGTCTGAATGCTGGAGGGAGAACAAGAGGCAGTGAATTTTGGAACTCAGTTGGAAAGACGATGTGTAAATGCAGCCCCGTGCCATTGGAAATAAACCTTATATCACATCATAGTCTCAAGTGACCTTCATTCCAAGGAAACCAAACCAAAGTATGCACTGGAACTCCTGAACTCTCTTCCTCCTGCATGTAAGTACATATACTTTGCCCAGAACTATGGAATTCTGCAACTTGTATAAGTTTTTCAAAGCATAGGAATTAGCATATATTTGCATAAAGTGTAAGCATAGGAATTTGCATATATTTGCATAAAGTATGCTAATGCTAGGGGTGTTCCTTCCTAACCTCCAGAAATTTCGCCAGGTTCTCATTTCCCCTTTTCAGGTTGTAGCAAGCAGTAGCCATATAAATGTAAAGGGACCCCTGACCATTAGGTCCAGTCGTGGCCGACTCTGGGGTTGTGGCGCTCATCTCGCTTTATAGGCCAAGTGAGCCAGCGTACAGCTTCCAGGTCATGTGGCCAACATGACTAAGCCGCTTCTAGTGAACCAGAGCAGCTCACGGAAACACCGTTTACCTTCCTACCGGAGCGGTACCTATTTATCTACTTGCACTTTGACATGCTTTCGAACTGCTAGGTTGGCAGGAGCAGGGACTGAGCAACGGGAACTCACCCCGTCGCGGGGATTTGAACCGCCAACCTTCTGATCGGCAAGTCCTAGGCTCTGTGGTTTAACCCACAGCGCCACCCACGTCCCCCCATATACTTTGTAGCCATATACTTTGAAGCTTATATTGTCTGACAGCAGCCACTGTGCTGTAGTGGTTAGAGTGTCAGACTGGGACTTAGGAGACCAGGGTTCAAATCCCCACTTGGCCAGTCACTGCTAGCCTAACTTACCTCACAGGGTTGTTGGGAAGGTAAAATGACGAGACAGAGAGAGTCCCTTGAAGGAAAGACTGAGGCCGTTTAGGGCTTTAAAGGTCAACACCAACACTTAGAGTTGTGCTCGGAAACGTACTGGGAGCCAATGTAGGTCTTTAAGGACCAGTGTTATATGGTCTCGGCGGCCGCCCCCAGTCACCAGTCTAGCCTCCGCATTCTGGATTAGTTGTACAGTGGTACCTCTGGATGTGAACGGGATCTGTTCCGGAGCCCCGTTCACATCCTTAGCAGAACGCAACCCGCATCTGCAAGTGTGTGGGTCATGATTCGCCACTTCTGCGCATGTGCTTGAAGTCGTTTTGAGTGTCTGCGCATGCACGAGCAGCGAAACCCGGAAGTAACCCGTTCCGTTACTTCCGGGTCGCCGCTGAACGCAACCTGAAAATGCTCAACCTGAAGCTACTTTAATCCGAGGTATGACTGTAGTTTCCGGGTCACCTGCAAAGGTAGCCCCACGTAGAGCACATTGCAGTAGTCCAAGCGAGAGATAACCAGAGCAGATAAAATGAGGAGGGGGGCAGAAACCATGTATGGCGCTTTGAGCTCCTCCCCATAGCTCAGCCTGTAGAGCCTGAGACACTTAATCTCAGAGTTGTGGGTTCGAGCCCTGCATTGTGCAAAAGATTCCTACTTTCCATGGGGTTGGACTAGATGATCCTTAGGGTCCCTTCCATAGAATCCTATGGTTCTGTGATCTGCTTGGCCACTCTGAGAACAGGCTGCTGGACTAAGAAGGGTCACTGGCCTGATGATCCAGTAGGTCTCTTCTTATGTTTAAGTTCTCCCATCACTCCATCCCAATTTCCCCTAGTTGGGAAAAACCTATTTTGGACTTTTCAGCCGTTAATGTGCTTTTTAAAACAACAGCAACAACCAATGCCCAAATCTTTCTTTCTCCCTTTCTAAATGTCGCCACACTCCTATTGCAGAAAGGGAAACGACTGCAGATCTCGCAGGCCGCTAATTTAATGCCTATAATTTCTCACGGACAGTGGCGTACTAATGGACAATAAAACCGCTACCTGATTTCAGACCAGGCAAGTTCAGATCGCTGCTGCAGTCAGTCATACTTTATTATGAAATTGTTTGCTGCCTTCGGCCGATGTGTTCATCCAGAGCTTTTAAGTCAGGCTAGCGGGAGTTAAGTGCAGCTGCGATTCACCCCAATCTGTTCCTGCCAACAGAGCTGGGTGGCGGATCGTCGGAAGGTCAGAGTTCAACAGGGCGAAAAGGCAGCTAGTTTGTATGTAACACGAACCCTAAAGACTGCCAGAAATAGGGATGACGCAGCTTTAAGAGAGACCGGAATGCTGACACACGTACAAAGAGAGAGAGAGAGAGATTTCATTGGGACCCATAGCAGAGAGAACATGAGGCTCAGACCTTCTCCCTCACACTAATATTTCAACCAGATGGCTGCTGGCGGTGAATTCGCTTTGACTTTGAATGTGCACCGAAGTACACAAAACAGCCACCTCCAAGATCAGAGGAATACTGGTTGCTGGAGAAGACCTGGGCTTCTCAGAAGCATCTGATGGGCTGCTGTGGGAAACACGATGTCAGATTAGACATCACTGTATACTGTATACTCCAGAAGCACACCCATTTCATGGTTGGCAGGCAAATTTTTCTTCTCCAAGATCCATCAGGTGGCAGCAGGGAGTTCTGCAAAGCTTTATCGGCTGCGCATAGCTCTGATTGGCTAGTAGCCGTGACTTTGCAATCCTTCCCCAGGCCAGCTTTACACTATGTGTGCTTCAAAGGTGGCAGCGGGGGGATGTTGAATGATAATGAAATGCCAATGTGGTCTTTTTTTATTTCCTTTTTGTTTTAAGACTGAAGACCGACATGAAACACAGGGAGGGATGGCAGACTAAAGATTCCATCAGTGCTAGAGACACTGATAGTTATAGCTGCCAACGACAAAGTGAAACCCGGTGGAAGCCACACTCTCACAGTATGGGAAAAGAGTGGAAAATCAGTGACTACTTTTTATTAGGTACATTTGGAGACTCATTGAAGTACCAAATTGTGGGTGTCTTGATGGCTTGGGTAAGGTAAAGGTAAAGGGACCCCTGACCGTTAGGTCCAGTCGTGGCCGACTCTGGGGTTACGGTGCTCATCTCGCTTTATTGGCCGAGGGAGCCAGCGTACAGCTTCCGGGTCATGACTAAGCCGCTTCTGGTGAACCAGAGCAGCGCACGGAAACGCTGTTTACCTTCCCGCCAGAGCGATACCTATTTATCTACTTGCACTTGATGTGCTTTCGAACTGCTAGGTGGGCAGGAGCAGGGACCGAGCAACGGGAGCTCACCCCGTCGTGGGGATTCGAACCGCCGAATGATCGGCAAGTCCTAGGCTCTGTGGTTTAACGCACAGCGCCACCCGCGTCCCACGATGGCTTGGGTACTGGTGCAGAAATAGATTGGGTTCCCCGTTGTTTTCCCTGTGTGTGCATTTGTGTGACATGTCTGGGATCGTTTCAAGGGGAATGCTGTGAACTTAGCTTTCCAGAGGCGGGGAGAAGGGGGTTATCAAGCTGGAACATGGCATGCTCAAAAGAGGCCAGAGTTCTTTGGCCGCTTGCCCAGTGATATTCCAGAGTTGACTGCTCCTAGCAACCAGTCTCCCAAAAGCATGCTTTTTTTCTCTCTCTCTAAATATAAATATATATAACTATGTATACAGTGATGTCACGGTCACCACGGCAACTATCAGCTGGAGAAACTATTGCATTTTCGGCTGCTAAGGAACCAGGGAAGCCAAATGGCCCCAGACTGAAATATTTCTCAGACAGAAAGAGCTTGTTATGCGGCTCACATACGTTTGCCAGGAGGTGCACGCTGCAGTGCCTTTTGCTGATGGAACCATTCTTCATGGAGTGCATGGGGGGGGGCTGCACTCCCCCCCTCTCTTTTTCCCTCCCTCCTTCCCTCCCTCCTTCTCTCTCCACCAGCACAGTCGCCTTGGCTGCTGTTCCCGGGCAACTGCTGCCATGCCCCTCTCGAGGGCTCCGCTGTAAGAAATTAATATCACAATTAATTAATCCCCAGCTCCTCGCAGGCAGCCCCAGCACTCTCGCGTCAGCGCAAGTTTGGGGATAGACAGGGGGAGGAGCCCATCTGTCACCCGCCGACAAGTTTTGGCGCTGGGAAACGGGAGCCGTTCGGCAACAGGGGCTTTTGATCCTCCGCACATGCGGCGGCACCGAGGATTAAACGTAATTGATGGTTCCACGGAGGGTGTGCGAGCCTGTCTTCCAAGAAAGGCGTCTAGACTTGGGGTGGGGGTGGGGGGGTGGGGAGAACAAGTCTCCATTTGGATCCCTTCCAGTCGGGATTCAGGCCTCACCATGGGACTGAAACTGCCTTGGTCGCGCTGGTTGATGATCTCCGGCGGGCTAGGGACAAAAGTGAGAGCTGTTTCCTAGTTCTGCTGGATCTCTCAGTGGCTTTTGACACCATCGACCATAACATCCTTCTGGACCGTCAAGAGGGGGTGGGGGCACTGTTATACAGTGGTTCTGCTCCTTCCTCCTAGGCCTTGTTCAGAAAGTGGGGGGGGGGGGGAGATGAGTGTTCAGACACTCCAGCCCTTCCTGGAGATCAAACCTGGGAACTTTTGCACGCAAGAGAGATGCTCTGCCCCGAGCCAACAATGTAAGGAAGAGGCATGAATCATAACTACCACTGAAGGACACAAGCAAAACCCAAGCAAAGCCTGAAGAGGGGACTGAGGCAAGCCCATGTGCGGTGTGGCTGGCAAGAACGCAAGTGGTCTCGGGAGCGTCCCAAGAACCAGATACAGAGGTCTGACAGGCCACATTTGACCTCTGATCTTGGGGTTACCCATCCCTGAGTTAGGGGATGAGGCTAGGGAACCCCAGGTTCAGAACCCCACTTAGGCCAGCGATGGAAAGAGGATAAGATGCCGACAAAGGCGGACTGGCAGATGAAACTACTTGACTATGCAGAGATGGCTAGACTGACTGGGAAAATCAGGAATCCGGAGGACCAAAGCTTCAATAGAGAATGGGATAAATATAGATTGTGTTTGAAAGAACACTGTAAACACTTGAAATCTTTGGCAGGCTTCAAATAACTCTTACAATGTTGCAAAGACTTTGGATACGTCGGAGGACTATAATTTGGAGGAACCATAATATGCAGTTGATTAAGATATTTAAAGGACCCACGGAAGGGAGGAGGGAAGTCTTAAGACGCGGAAGAATCTCATTCTATTTCAAAATTTAATTGTGTTGAGTGTGTGATTTATTTTGTAAAACGAATAAAAAAATATTTCAAAAATGAAACGAAAAACAGATCCCCACTTAGCTATGAAGTCCCTACACTCTCCTACACAGGATTGTTGTGAGGGGTTTTTTTTTAAAAAAAAAGTGAGCAAGGGAGGAAAACCGCATATACACATATCTTCCAGCATCCCACTGATCAAAATCAGGACGTGCATTTTTTGGTCCCAAGCTCTCACGGGAGCCAGCCGACTTGCGCCAGAGCACCGGACCAATAAATGAGACATTCCAGGATCCAATTAGAAGCCGGATGGCATCTGTAATTCGGGGATGTCCTGTTCAAATCAGGTTAAGGAGTACGTATATACACACCTTTGCAGGAAAGGCAGGATATAATAAATGTGCTAAATAAAGCAAAATAAATAAATATAGGATCTCAGCACGCCATGTCACCCTAAAGAGAGGAGGAAGAGCAGGCAGGTGTCACGATGCCAGTTAAAATTTGGCAAGGAGGTTGTTTCGATGGCGTTAACACATCAGAGTCCTCGGGTGCCTGCATCACACAACTCTGAATGTGCGATGAATAAGAAGGCTGAAGCTGTACAACGATGGCCCTTTGAGCTGCCTCGCCTCCCCCCTCGCCGGCTTCTTCCTCAAGACGCAGAGAAAGCGCTCACGACCTTTCCTTCGCTACACAGAGATCAGGTCTGAAGATAACTTTGAGAAGTTGCCTCTAATCTGCACAATGGCTCCGTGTTGAAGTGCTGAGGTGGTGGGAAAATAATAGATACTTCTATTTCCACTGAGATGGGCCAGATAAGGGCTGGGGAAGGGGGAAAGGGCGCCTGGATAAGAATCTGTGGTTGTTTGTCTGCAGCGCAGCAGAAAGTCAGAGAAAAAACACCACCAGGGCTTCAAAAGTCACTTCCTCAACCTCCCGTCTTAGATTTGATTCAAACGTTCAGGAAGTATGTGTGGTACAGTCCTCTCAGGGAGCTGCTTTGCACCTCAGAGGCGCTGCTAATCTTGATGGTTACTTTATCTGTCTCTGCCTGTTGTTTTGTGGTTGCTCCAGCATTGGGGCTGGCTATTTGTAGTGGAGCAAGGGGTTTTTTCAATACCAGGGGTGGTATGATTCGCTTGTCTGGAGCGCTGGGTCAGAGGGTGAGTGTTATGTACTGAGCTGAATAGGATCCAAAATGCAGCAGTCTGATTGGTCCTAGAACAATAGGATCCAAAATGCAGCAGTCTGATTGGTCCTAGAACAATGCAGCAGCATGATTGGTCCGCAGGAGCCACCCAATCCAGCTCCAGGTGGAAGTGAATCCGCAACCTGATTGGCCTACAGGAGAATCCCGGAATTAGCCAATCAT